CTCTTTTTTTTAGCTTATCCACTCAAATGCCAACTAAATATCTCCACTTGAGGGTCATGGCATCTCAAACTCACCATCTCCCCAATCAAACCCTGTGTAACCTATTTCATTCAAGCCTCCTTCTCTTTCTGTGTTCTTTCCCATCATTACATTAGCCAAGATTGAAATGAAGGAGAGAATCCTAGAATCAGCAAGAGGAAAGGAGGCAGTCACCTACAAAGGAGTTCCCATGAGACTGTCAGCTGATTTCTCAAAGACGTTATAGGCAAGAAGAGGCTGGAAAGAGGTATTCCAAGTTATGAAATCCAAAGACCTACATCCAAGATTGCTGTATCCAGCAAAACTTTCATTTAGAATGGAAGGGCAGATAAAGTGTGTCTCAGATAAGGTCAAGTTCAAGGAGTTCATCATCACCAAGTCCTGATTATGTAAAATGTTAAAGGGATTTTATCTAAGAAAAAGAAGTTAAAAAAACATGAACAGTGAAAGGACAGCAAACTCACAATTATTAATAACCACACCTAAAACAAAAAGAAAAACAAACTAAGCAAACAGCTAGAACAGGAACAGTATCACGGAAATGGAGATCACACGGAGGGTTATCAGTGGGAAGGTGGAAAGGGAGAATGGGGGAAAAGATACAGGGAATAAGAAGCATAAATGTTAGGTACAAAATAGACAGGGGGAGGTTAAGAATAGTATGGGAAATGGAGAAGCCAAAGCACCATGTATATGGCCCATGGACATGAACTAAGGTGAGGGTAGGAATGCTGGTGGGAAGGTGAGTGCAGGGCAGAGGGGAATAAAGGGGAGAAAAAAATGGGACAACTGTAATAGCATAATCAATAAAATATATTGAAAAAAAGAATTACACCAGCAAAAAAGAAGTCAGCTCACAGCTAAAAAAAGATTTCCAAATCATACATCAGATAAGAGATTAATACCTAGAATATTTAGAAAATTCCTGAAACTCAATAATAAAAAATAAACATTCTAATTCAAAAATGGGCAAAGGACTTGAGTAAATAGTTCTCCAAAGAAGATATACAGATGGCCAATAATACCATGAGAAGATCCTCATCATTTCTGATTATCAGAGAAATATAAATGGAAACTACACTATAATATATTATAATGTATATATTATTTGTGTATGTACAAGTAATATATGTTTATATATATGAATAATATATTGTATTATTATAATTATAATATGTATATATATATTACAATGAGACACCACCTCACAACCACTAGAATGGCTATTATTAAAAAAAACAGAAAGTAAGTGTTGGTGAGTATGCAAAGAAATTGGAACCCTTGTGCACCATTGGTGGGTATATGAAACGGTGCAGGTTTTGTACTGTGGAAAATAATATGGCACTTGCTCAAAGAATTAAAAAGAGTTATCCTGTGATCCAGCAATTCCTATTTTGGGTAGATAGCCAAAAGGATTGAAAACAGAATCTGAAGTAGATGTTTGGACAACCACGCTCATAGCAGCATTGTTCACAACAGCTAAAATGTAGAAGCAGCCCTGAGTCCATCAAATGTATAAGAAATGTGCTATATACATGAAAGGGAATGTTATTCCTCCTCAAAAAGGAGGGAAAATTCTGACATATGTACAACATAAATGAATCTTCAGGACATTATGCTAAGGGAAATAAGTCAATCACAAACACACAAAATCCTGTATGAGTCCACATGTATGGGGTACTTAGAGTAGTCAAAGTCATAAAGACAGAAAGTAGAATGGTGGTTGCCAGGGGCTCGGGTGGGACAAAGGAATGGGGAGATATTGTTTAATAGGTACAGAGTTTCAATTTTACAAGATGAAAAGAGTTCTGGAGATGGATGCCAATGATGGCTGCACAACAATGTGAATGTACTTAATACCCTGAACTACACACTTAAAAATGCAAATTTTGCTATGTGTATTTTACCACAATAAAAAGATTGGAAAAACTACTAGAAGCATATTTAGAACCTGTTGCTGCATGTTAATGTGTGGCAGGATGGAATTTACCCACTACCTCTGAAGTAGCTGTTACACAAAAGCCAGAGACAGAAGAAACAGTGTAAAGGCAAGGCTTGGGAAGAACAGCACCAGGCAGTAAGATGGCCTCAGCTGTTACTCCAGTTTATAGGTTTTGAGGCCTGTACTCTATGAGGAGCATCCTGCAATAACACTTTTCCCAGGAGAAGAACCAGAAAACCACTGCTGTAGAATAAGTGTCTATGAAAACCTCAACATTCTGTTGACTGATTAACAGGAGACAGAGATTAGGAGAAATGCAAAGAATTACTTGTTATATTGTGATATGCCCTGTTCCTAAGAAAGAATAGAGGCTGTGTCTAGAGAGAAACAGGATGCCACAATGCAGGAGTCAAAGCAGAAATGGAAAAGAAAAAGGAAATGGAGAAGAAGGCGAAGGAAAAGGGCAGGTAACACAGGGTACCTCAACTCAGAACATCAATCCTTGCCGCTGAGTTATGAGCTGAGTTATTGCATTAGAGCTCCTTCCCTTACCACCCCCAGGGCAAAGTGATGGTCTCATAGCAGGAGGACAATCTGCATTGGAAAGAGTATGGCCCTTGTTAAAATTCAGGTTACTGGATTCCTTCATAAATCAGAATCTCTGGATGAATAGGCTATTGTTACAAGCTTTAACCACACTTATGCTCTGAAAACCTTTTCAAAGTCACCAGGAAGATTTAGCCGGTATTATATAATTTATGCCACCATAACTGCCAACCCAGCGAGGCAGCGGACGATCACTCTGCTGCAGTCCTCCAAGAGATGCTTTGCTGAGAGCAGATGGATTATAGCTCTGATCTCAAGAGACGCAACACAGAGCACCTCAACAATCAGAGATCTGTGGCTGATTGTATTTTCCAAAGATGGCTGCAACAATATCTCCTGTCTATTATACTCTTCAAGCACCTTGTCATGCCCCATTAAGAGTTAATCTGTGTCCTCTCTCCCTTGAACCTGGTAAGACCTTTGCAACTGCCTCAACCGAGTGAGTTCAGCAGAGGCGATGCTATATGACTTCTGAAGCTAGATCACGAATATGTCATGAACTTCCATATGGTTCTCTTGAGATGCTTGCTTTGGACAATCAGCAATCACACTGTAAGGCAGTCCAGGTAGCCTGGGGCGTGGCTAATGTGGAGAGGAACCCAGGTCCCTAGGCTCAAGCCCTGGCTGCACCCCCAGCCAGCAAACAGCGCCAACTAGCCATGTGAGTGACTCATCTTGAAAGGATATCTTTCAGCTGGAGTTGAGCCACCCCAGTTTACATTGCATGGGTAGAGACGGGTTGTCCTGCCCAGACTACAAACTCCTGAGCAGAAGAAATTACTGTTGTTTAAGCCCCTAGGCAGCAACAGCTAGGTTTGATACAGCATCCCTGGTAGGTTGGAGGTACAGATAATCATTCCATGCCCTGAGAGGCAAGATGAATTCTTTTCTGTTGTTCTTTACTTTGTCAATTAATAAATCTTCCATATGTTTCCCCTCCCCTGCAGCCAGCTTCCTCAGAGGAGTTGCTGCTTCTTGGTTCTAGCAACTTGCTTCTAGTGTGCGGGAGCATTTAAGGCGGGTTTTTGTTTAATTGAGGAAAGTTGACTGGTATGAGGGAGACTTAGGCATTTGGAATACACAAGATAAAGTATAATATCAAGAGTGGGAGAATGAAACTAATAATAACTATTCTCAGCCTAAACAAAGATGTTTTTAAAAACCTCATTACTTATCATAACTTATATGTACAAACATGTATAAAGTATGTTGTAATTTTATAACAAGCTACGTAGAGAACATATGTTGCTTAATAACAATTCCACTGCCATCCTGTGCTCTTCGGGCTGCTGCTCCCAGGTCTGGAAAGTTGAGACGAAACCAAATTGCTCTGCATTAAAAAAGTATGTAGACTGCACCCTCATGTTCATTGCTGCATCATTTACAACAGTCAAGACATGGAAAAAACTAAGTGTCTGTCAGCAGATGAATGAATAAAGAAAATGTGTTATATATACAGTGGAATATTATTCAGGCATAAAAAAGAAGGAAATCCTGCCATTTGTGACAAACATGGATGGACCTGGAGAGCATTCTGATAAGTAAAATGAGTCTGATATAGAAAGACAAATACCATATGCTCTCATTTATATGTGGAATCTAAAAAACAAACTAAAGCAAAAACAAAACCACACACACAGAGACACACAAGCTCATAGAGAACTAATTGTTGGTGGCCAGAGGAAGGAGGGGTGGGTGAACCAGGTAAAGGTGGTAAGAAAACACAAACTTCCAGTTATAAAATAAAAAGTTCCTGGGGATATAATGTACAGTATGGAGACTATAGTTCATATTGTATTGCATATTTAGAAGTTGCAAAGAGAGTAAATCTTGTAAGTTTTCATCACAAGAAGAAAATTGTAACTATATGTGGTGATGGATATTAACTAAGCTTATTATGGTAATCATTTTCCAATATATATATCAAATAATTACCTAAAACTAATATAATGTTATGTTAATTTTATCTCAATAAAAAATAATAAAATACCACATTAACCTATGGAAGGGAGGAGAAAGGTGGATGGAGCCCCTGTGGCTGACTTACTGCAGGAGATGACTTTGGGGAGGGTAGAAATGCCTAATAGGAATTTTAATTAGGCGGTTTGCTGTGTGAATTATGAGAGAAATCCTCTCTGCTGTTTATATAATCTACAGTAAACTTCATGTTGCTCAACAAACACTTCCTGGAGTGGATTCACTTTGTAAGGCCGTAAAGAACTGACAAATGCCAGTCAGGCTCTCAAAGTGAGGAAGCCACACCTGCTGGAGTGAGGGACATCACAGGGTAACATCTGGCTTCCCAGTGGAGGGAAAACCCAAACCAATAAAAGTGTTTCACTTGACATTTAAAAAAATTTTTTATGGTGAACATTTTCATACATTGTAAAGGTAGAAAAGTAGAATGAAGAATCTCCATCTGCTTATCATTCAACTTCAACATTTGACAAACATTAGTTCATTTTTAACAGCAGCATATTGTAATTTCCCATAAAACAATACTTAAAGACACAAGGGTTGTTGAGGGAATTATTGTTTAATGCCAATTATCTTAGAGAACAGCACTAGAAACATATTTCTTTCAAAATAAACTGGAAGTTAAAATGTTTTGAAGCTATTTGAAACCATATGGTTAGTTGAATTAGTTTCTAATATCTGAGGTGAGATAGCACTTAATAGATGCAGTATTTTATTTCAGCATTTTCTTTCACCACAATGTAAATTTTACCTGTAAGAATCAGAAAAAAAAATAAATGAGTGAAAGGACTAGGATTTGTTGTTTCCATCTTTCTTTACACTATCTTGTTCCAAATTTTAAAACTACTATTCCATCCCTAACCTACTGCCAAATTGCTACATATTTAAAAATCTACATCAAACAATGGCCCCTGGTTCAGTACAATCTATTAGGAAGAGTCACAACTACCAGCTGAGATTTAGATAAATTTCCTAGGTTAGGGACTCAATTTGCTTCCTTGCTTGCACATTGCATTCATTTATTCATCCCCAGTGCTTATTAAGTGCCTTCTATGTGTTGGCAGTATTGCTAGGTGGTTGAGTGAACCAATGGAATGCTCTGTAAGTTTGTCAGTGCTAACTTCTGTTACCAAATAGCAATGAATCATCAAACATGTGAAGGTAACAGTTATCTAAAAGGAACATAACCTAAAACAATCTTTTTCATTGACTGGATGACTAAACCAGTCAACTGCCACATTATAATTCCCTAAGGGTTACTTTGACATCAAATTCTGAGTTAAGTTGCTAACATATGCCTTTAGAAAAGCAACATTCCTTGGCAAAAGAGATAATAGTCAATTCTTAGGAGGCAGAGTATAAAGAGGAAAAGAGACTGATAAGAAAACTCCCCATTTTGACTTTGCTTGAAAGTGAGTTAAGCATTTGAGTCATTGATGAAAGCCATTTGAAGCAATAAGAAGGCAAATACTAGGACACTAAAATGGTGCTAAAAATGCAACATACTAAAGAACAGTTCATGAAGAAGACATTATTTTCTGCTGCACATGGCAAAAATAGCTTACAGAGAGACAGATTGTACCAAAGTCAACCAATCATACACATAAATGCCCCATCCTGATCAAACACTCTCAAAAACCTCTTGGGAGATCGGACTTTTTCAGAGAATAGCCATTTCTGCATGAAAACTAAACTTTAATTATAAATTTGATGGGGATTTACAGAAAAGATTGAAAGATAGGACTAAGCCCTTGTCTTCTTGCCTGAGAGAAACAGGAGGAAATGTGATCTGGAGAGCTTAGGTAGCTGCCCAACTCTGAGAAGACAGTCACTAAAAAGTCAGTAATTAATCTCTATAGTGGGGGCTTTGGCAATTTTGAATAATTGGGTGAATTGTCCACACTTAATTTATAGACTAAAATAGCTTCCCATCACTTTGGAGAAAATTATTATTTTAACATCGTGGTGTTGATAAGAACGTATGACAAGGTGCATTACACAGGCACACGTAGCATGACATCCCAGTTGGTTACTGTTGGTAGTGGACCTGAGATCTAGGCCTACAGTGAACATCTGGTTACACACATGTCTCTACTACCTTAAATTATGGTGGACCTAAGATGGGTGTGGTTGATATGTGGTGTGTCCATGTGGAATAGCACGTGGCCACTCCTGTTGTGGCAGACATCTTTACAAAGTTGCAGAATTCTTTCCTATTCAACCAGGCTTATTCCTCTCATTTCAGGCTTCAGAAAGCTGACTACCAAATAATTGGGGTAGGCTGGCAATTAAGAAATTTTCCCTCCATTTGTTAAGGGATAGCTCATGTATCTGTGAGAGAGTACCAAGGAAATAAAAGATGTCTTTAAAAATTTGTTTTGATATTCAAAAATCAAAGAATTTCCACAACGTACCAAGCATTTTTAGAAAGCATTCATTGCTTTTCTTTTTTCAATATCTCGCTTGAGTTGACACAGGGCACACTGAGGGAAACACATCAGCCACAGGAAATCACTGCAAATGGATCCCTGTTAAAAACAGACAGATGAGTCAACATGTAGCTTGTAAATATAATTACACAATTCCCTGCATTTGTATAGCTTTTCTAACCTCCTTAAAACATATATTTCATCACTTATTTATCATGAGAATTTTGTGACATTATCTCCACTTCTCTGATGACTCAGAGAAGTTAAAAAGCTCACTAAGATCACGCAGCACATTGGCAGAGCTCAGTCTTTCTTTTCTCAAGCCAGGGGGCCCTTTTTGTCTTACACCATTTTAAATCACTTGCAGGTTACAACTATCACCCTGGTCCTTTCTCATCTGTTCCAGAATGGTTCTCCCTATTTTATTTTTTCCTCAAATATTTTGTTTATTTTTAGAGAGAAGGGAAAGGAGAGAAAAAGAGCAAGAAAAACATTGACTGGTTGCATCTTGTACACCAGGGATCGAACTGATGATGCTTCCCTTTGTGGGATGATGCCCAAACAACTGAGCCATACAGGTTAGGGCTGGAATGGTTTCCTTTAAAGCCAGTTGTGTAATGCACTAAGTTTTCTACAGTTTGTGAGCAGTGCCAGACTGAGCCACATCATGTACCCTTCTGGCCATTTGCATTGGCATCTCTTATGTCATGAAATGAAGAAAGTCAAAAGTGAAGGAGGGATATATAATTATGGGGAAAAGAAGAATAAAGAGAATGAACAATGTTTGGAAAAGCCATAGAATGGGCTACCTTGAAAAGTTTGAGGGCTCTCTCTCTAGAAAGGTCTAATCTGGCTCTCAATGACCCTCTGGAAGAGATGCCCCTGAAGGAGTCCTACTTTGTGGCATTGGGTGACCCAAGGGGCTGTAGTCTGACAAACAGGTTCTACGATGGTGTGTCTTGATGGACTGAAATAATTTTGAGCTGCATTTTTTGATAGCACTATTTTTTAAATGTTGAATAAATACAATTTCTAATTTATAGTGTGAGCAGAGAGTATACACACACACTGAATCTGCTCTCTCTCTCTCTCTCTATATATATATATAGTAGATTCAATTAATAATGGTTAAGAGCTCCTAAATGTTGAGATTATAAGTATTCTATTTTTCTTATTTTTTTGATATATTTTATTGATTATGCCATTACAGTTGTTCTATTCCCCCCTTCATTCCCCTCCACCCTGCACACACCCTCCCCTACTATTTCCCCCTTTAGTTTATGACCACGTGTCTCAAGTTCCTTAGATTCTATATTTCCCATACTATTCTTGCCCTCCCCCCAATCTATTTTCTACCTACCATCTATGCTACTTATTCTCTGTACCTTCTCCTCCCTTCTCCTTCTCCCACTCCCCTGTTGCTAACCCTCCATGTGATCTCCATTTCTATGGTTCTGCTCCTGATCTAGCTGTCCTCTTAGTTTGCTTTTGTTTTAGGTGTGGTTCTTAATAACTGTGAGTTTGCTGTCCTTTCACTGTTCATCTTTTTTATCTTCTTTTTCTTAGGCAAGTCCCTTTAACATTTCACATAATAAGGGCTTGGTGATGATGAACTCCTTGAATTTGATCTTATCTGAGAAGCACTTTATCTGCCTTTCCATTCTAAATGAAAGCTTTGCTGGATAGATCAGTCTTGGTTGCAAGTCTTTGGATTTCGTGACTTGGAATACTTCTTTCCAGTCCCTTCTTGCCTGTAAGGTCTCTTCTGAGACATCTGCTGACAGTCTGATGGGAACTCCTTTGTAGGTGACTGTCCCCTTATCTCTTGCTGCTTCTAGGATTCTCTCCTTCATTTTAATCTTGGCTAATGTAATGATGATGTGTCTTGGTGTGTTCCTTCTTGGGTCCAACTTCTTTGGGACTCTCTGAGCTTCCTGGATTTCCTGGAAGTCTATTGCCTTTGCCAGATTGGGGAAGTTCTCTTTTATTATTTGTTCAAATAAGGTTTCCACTCATGGCTGTTCCTCTTCCCCTTCTGGTACCCCTATAATTTGGATGTTGGAATGTTTAAAGATGTCCTGGCTGTTCCTAAGCCTCTCCTCATTTTTTTGAATTCTTGTTTCTTCATCCTTTTCTGTTTGGTCATTTTTTTCTTCCTTCTGGTTCACTCCCTTGATTTGAGTCCCAGTTTCCTTTCCATCACTATTGGTTTCCTGTACATTTCCCTTCATTTCAATTAGTTTAGCCTCCATATGTTCCTCTAATTTGTGACTAAAATCAACCAGTTCTGTGAGCATCCTGATGACCAGTGTTTTGAACTGTGCATCTGAAAGTTTGGCTATTTTTGGTCACGTAGAGTTATTGGCTCTGGGGCTTTGAGTTTTTCCTGAGCCATAATGTTTTGTTCTGTTCTCACCTATTACATATGAGGAGAGGAGCCTTAGGTGTTCACCAGGGGGGGGGGGCACCCAGGTTGCTGGGTTGTAATGCTGTATGTGGGGGCTGGGTCAGAAAAGAACAATGGTGGTCCCCTTGCTGCTTCCTGCCGCTGGGGCCTGTGTGGTCTGTCTCACTGCTCACTCCTTCGCTGGTTTATCTGCATGCAAATGTGTGAGTGCCGTCAGCCCTCAGTGGGTCCACCTGCTGCTACTCAACACCTGGGATCTGCCCATGGCTGCCTGCGCACCTAGGTCGGTTCAGTGGATCTTTCCTACCTGACCCCCCTCTGCTGCTGGCTCTGCCCCTCTTACCAGTTTGGCTGAAGGGTTTGTTGTTGTCAGACTTCTGTATAGTTCAATTTTCTGTGGTTTGGCTGCATTTTTGTTGCTAAAACTTTGTTGTTTTTAAACTTGGTTGTGCAAGATGGTACAGTGATTTCACCTATGCCTCCACCTTGGCAGAAGTCAGGATCATAAGTATTCTATTTTTTATGAAAAAAATTATTTCTACAGTGATTTTTGATTCTCATCTAACAGAGTAAGTATGTGGGACAAAAAGAGGACAAATAAATAGCAAGTTAAAATTATTCTAATGTTGTGGCCCTCATTGGATGGAAGAATGGATATTTAGCCTGTAGACAATTCAATCTTGTGGCTTTCTCTTTTTCCCTAATAGGTAATCCAAATTCCTTTAACCCTTCCTCATAGGACTTGCGTTTTTAATCTTTAATTCATCATTTAGTTTTTATTACTTTTATCTTTTAAACTTCCATTAAACCACCCTTATTGAATACATATTATATGTCACAAAGAAGAAAATATTCTCTTTTAATAGGGTCTAATTACTTTTCTGTTCTATTATGTGCATGCCTCTCTTTTACCTCAGGTAGTTTTTAGGGAGAAAAATCTTGCTATTATTGGCTGAGAAACCTAGAGAAATCAGTGGAAAACACACCATGATTATAAGTCTCTTTAATAATATAAAACTAGGGAGAAGAAAAAAACATTCTTTTTTTCAAAGAGAAAGCAAATGAACTGTAAGTTTGTGTTATGCTGAAGTTAATAAGGGGTACAAGTGCCATGACTGGAATACAAATGCCATTCCAGAAAAATGGGTGCAAGAAATAAAGATTCCACATTCACTACTCTATTTGGTTACACTGGGCTAGTACTTCACTGGTTAAAAAAGAAGTCTTGTTATGAGTACTATTTTCAGAATCATTGACTCAGCTGAAAATGAAAAACATGTGGCACATGACTGACTGCACATCTACTCAGGAAAGCAGGATGATAAAGTGGAAAAAAACAGATGTTTGGAGTTAGAATAAATTGAGCCCAGCTTCCAATATTTCTGTGCCATGTGACTATAAGTCTGTCTTATTTCTGGTTTCCATATCCATAAAGTAGAGATGACAATTCTTGCTCCACAAAGAGTTTGTAAGTAGTAAATGAGCAAATGAGCAAATATATGTCAAAATCCTATCCTAGCACACGGTAATCAGCAGTTGTTTTTTTTTCTTTCTCCTCCTTTCCTGCAGAGGCTGTGCTGCTGCCTGCCTAGAAGATGCCATGCTGTCTTGGCTGTGCCCATGAAGGGAGGGGCAGATCAGTTAGAGCCTGCAGTGTAGCAGACCCTCAAAAGTTTGCATAGATGTAAAAGGGAAACAAAGTGGAAAGCTTGCATTAAACAAATTAGTCCTGGGAATTACAATTTTCAAGCTATGTTAAAAGAGGAATAACAGAGACACACTGTCTATAAATATGTTTATTTAATGTTTGCCAAGAAAATGTACTATATCATAGAATTCTAGACCTAGAAAGTGACCTTAGAAAGTGACCATCTTCTATTACTTCCTCATGACACATGAGAAAACCAATGCTGCCAAATAATTTACTAGCAAGTAAAAAAAAATAGCTATTTACTGAGCTGTTCTCAGAACGTTTATCTGCAGCACACAGCTAAGCACCCCTTCTCCTATACCATTTTGTCATCAGGGACCACTTTGGGACCTCACCTTACATCCCTACCCTAACTACATACACATGACAGTTTGCCTGTAGTTTCAGGAAGTTTATGGTTCAGTCACAAAGTGAAGAACTTGTATGTTATGCTGTCTTATGAGGAGCACACTCAAGAGCCACAGGGAATGCTGAGAAAGCCAGGAACTGAGTAAGCACATGGGACACATGAAGCCAGGGTCCTGAACACATCCCTGTTCTGAGAAAACAGCTGACTCATTCTCTGAGATAAGAACAAAAATAGTAGCAGTTATTTATTCAGCACTTATTACTTGACAGGCTCTGTGCTAAGCCTTTTCAATATATTATCTTCTTAATTTTTTAAATTTAAATATTTTATTATTTATGCTATTATAGTTGTTCCAATTTTCCCCCTTTGACCTTCTCCACCCAGTCTGCTCCCCATTCTCACAGTCAGTCCCCACACTGTTGTCCATGTCCATGGGTCATGCACATATGTTCTTTGACTAATCCCTTCACCTTCTTTCAACTAGTCCCTATCTTTTCCCCCTCCTTTTACAGCTGTCAGTTTGTTCCATGTTTCCATGCCTCTGGTTCTATTTTGCTGATTAGCTTATTTTTTCATTAGATTCTACATATAAGTACGAATCAGAGTTTGTTTTTCACTGACTGAATTATTTCTTTTTTTCTTGTTTATTCAAAAATATTTATTTATTGAGTGCTTACTATATGTTGAGCACTATTCTAGATGTAGGATTGATGCTGTTGAGGTGCTTACATTTTAATGAAGGGGAATAGACAATAAACAGATAAATAAAATGGTTTCTGGTAGTGATAAGTATACTGTGAAGAGAATCAGATGATAACATAGTCATGTGAGTAGAGGGAGAGTGGTTCTTTATATAGTAACGATGAGATTCCCCTTTCAGAAAGTATAGTTCAGAACCAAGAACTGAAGATATGAAGGTGCTGTTCTTAGGGAAGATGAGTATGGACCAGAAAGTGCAGAGAACCTACAGCAAGAAGGAGCAGAAGTTTGGTATGTTGCAACAAAATGAATGAGAGTGTAGGCTAGGGTAAATGGTGCTCCCCTGTATAATGTATGCCCACATTTTTGTGCACATTATTTTGTGCAGATTATTACACCCATGGTGAGTAATCTTCGCACCCATGTGTAATCTGCATACTTATTTTTCCCTAAAAAATGTGGGCAAAAAAGTGAGCATTATCTGTGGCAAAATAAGGTAAGTTTTCAGGGACAAGAACCCATCATGTCATGTGTTTGTTTAAAACATTTTGATGACTTCCCAGTTCAGAGTAAAAGCTGAAGTTCTTATAGTCTGCAAATTCCTTACTAATGCTCTGACGTCATCTTCTTCTATTCTACACCCTCACACACTCTTCCTCATCCCCATTGTCTCTAGAACATTCCAGGTAAATTCTACTTCAAGGCCTTGGGTCTAGGTCTTTCTTCTGCTTGGACCTTTCCCAGATGAGTTATTCTGTCATCCTTTTAAGTCTTTACTTTCTGACTGAGGTCTTTCCTGATAACCTATTTAAAATTAGAAACTTCAACACTCTCTTCCTCTTGTTTTATTTTTTCTCTAGCACTTATCACCATTCTACATATTGTACTTTTTTTCAGGTACATTGTAACTATCTTCTCCCATTGGAGCATAAGCTCTACCATTGGCAGCCACGATAGAAATAACTGATTCAGGCAAGAATCTTCAATGGATATTAGAACTAGAGGATGAACAGGATACTGACATCTCCCTACAAGGTCCTTACCCATTATAAAGGGGAAAATAGCAACTTTATAGTGGACAATCCTGGCAGACACTATCTCAACCAAGTAATCAAAGTTAACATTGCCCCTAATATGATGAGTTGAAGCCATGTGTTTCCTGATATGATGTATGGCAAACACAGCATAGCTTCTGAGGAGTTTATTCTAACAATGTACAACCTAAGTCTAGTCATGAGGAAACATTTAACGAACCAAGCTGGGGGATAGTCTAAAAAATAACTGATCTGTGTTCCTTTAAAAGAAAAGAAAGACTGAGAAATGGTTCTCATTGTAGGAGATGACCTAGGTGTGACAACTGAACACAATGTGTAATCAATCCCAGATTGGTTTTCTTTTCATCTAAAAAATGATCTTGGGATAATTGGTAAAGTTTAAATAAGATCTGTAGATTAGCTTATAATATTATATCTATGTTAAATTCCTGCTTTTTGATAATTGTTTCTTGGTTATGTAAGAAAATATCCTTGCATTTAAATTTTTTATTTATTTTTAGAGAGAGGGGAAGGGAAGGAGGAGAAGGAGAGAAATATCAATGTGTGTTTCCCTTTCACATGTCCTGCACCAGGGAACATGGCCCAAAGCCCGGGCATATGCCCTGACTGGGAATTGAACCAGCAAGCTTTTGGTCCACAGGCTGGTGCTCAATCCACTAAGCCACACCAACCGGGGTGACAATGTCCTTGTTTTTTTTTTTTTTTTTTTTTTAAATATTTTATTTATTTATCTTTAGAGAGGAACGGAAGGAGAGAAGGAGAGAAACATTAGTGTGTGGTTGCCTCTCATGCATCCCCTGCTGGGGAACTGGCCTGCAACCCAAGCATGTGCCCTGACTGGGAATCGAACCGCGATTGTCTGGTTCGCAGGCCCGCACTCAATCCACCGAGCCACACCAGCCAGGGCACGATGTCCTTGTTTTTAAGAAATACACTAAAATAGCCCTGATTGGGTTGCTCAGTTGATTAGAGTATTGTCCTGATACACCAAGGTTGCAGGTTGAAAACCTGGTCAGGGAACATACAAGAATCAACCAAAGAATGCAATAAATAAGGGGAACAACAAATCGATGTTTCTCCATCTCACTCTCTCTCTTCCTTCAGTTCTTTCTAAAAATCAATAAATAAAATTAAAAAAAAATACAGTGAAATAGAGGTAACAGTGCATCAAGTTTCTAACCCACCCTCAAATAATTCAGAAAAAACAGATAAAGAGAAAAATAAAACAAGCGTGGCCAATTTTTAATATGTTGGAAACATGGGCAAAGGGTATTCAGGAAGTCTTTGTACCATTTTTGCAACTTTTCATTAAATCTGAAATTATGTTACAAAAGCCTAAAAAACAACAAAAAAAATGTGCAGTCCATGAAGACAGGGGTTTTGATTTCCTTTATTCACTGATGTGTCTCTAGCATCTGCAATAGTAATTGGCACGCACTCGATAAATCCCTGTTGAATAAATGAACACCAGCTTATGATTTTACGAGGTTCTATGTGCTTAATATGGCTTTTTAATAAATGAGCCCTAGCTAATGACTTACCAATGAGGTAAATGTGCCAGCTCTGAGAGGATCACACACTCATTTTTACTCAAGGCTTTATAAAAAACTATCACCCACCCTACAGAAGTGCAGGGTCCTGTCTGAGTAAAGCTAGGAGAGGCTAAGGGTCTTGTGCTGGTCACTCCCAGCAACTTTTTCAGAGACACGTCTATTGGGTCAATAAAAGATTTTATTACTAATATATTCCAAAGTATACATAACCGCAATACTCCTGTAAATCACTTCAAAATTTAGGATGGTAGTGGAGAAAAGACTGGGTTAAGGTATGAAGGTGAGAAGGAGCAATCATGGCAATCTGTCAGACTGAAGGGAAGCCCTTGGGTATCTGGGCTACCACCTTGCAGTGGACTCTTGGGTGACTCACCGGGATGCCGTATCGGGTTCGATACATGGTCCTCATGGCGACACTTGCCCCACACAGGCAGCATTCATCCATGTCAGAGGCAATCTGACATGACAGGCACAGAGGGAAGAAAGTCCCGCAGAGGCCTGAGTGAGGGTGAGACCACACAGGAGAATTAGTGAAAGTTATCAGTTTCCACTAAACCTCAAGTAGATGGTAGCTTGGGAAATGGCCTTAATGAACCCTCTGAGATAACAATGTGGTCATCTGGGGTCTTTGCTTCTGGACCCCAGTGTCTGGTAGTTGGAAAAAATGTTCATGTCATCATATCAGGTCAGAGTTAACTGTAAAAATTTCTGCCCTGCCAATCTGAGCATGTGAGAGTTACCATTCTTCCCTGCCCTTGTTTACATTTGGGTCATGCTTGCATGGGAAGCTTGTGGCATCAGACATGTGAAAAGCCCTCTGAAAATCATGGGAGGGTCTTAAAGGTGAGAAATGGGTGAGTGGAGAAATCATTAGTGCCCACATGAGAAAAACAATAGGGAATAGATTCTATATGGTCGTATAGGCAAAATGTAGAGCCTTATTATCACTGTGAGGGTAGAGGCAAACAGAAGTAAAGGGATATTGGCATCAAAAGCACATAAATCTAACTGGTATTTCACTTTAAAGAATCTCTGAGACACAAAAAGGGCCTAATAAAATAGCAACAAACAGGAAACTAACATTCTCTTAGTAAAAGTCTATTCTGGAAAGCTCTGGGGTGGAGTATTGGTACTGCTGTACCCTTGATAAGATAAGAAAGTCTGTTTTATTGTTTTTATTTATTGTTTTAAGCAAAGGGCTATCTCCAGTGATCTTGGGACTTCCATCATATTTATAAAAGTAAGAAAAACAAAAAGAGGAGGGGCTGTTTCTCAAAGATACTGGAAAGATGTGCCACACAGAGAGTATCTGCAACTCATATGGCAATAGACTCTGAAATAAGGAAATTTTTCTCACACAAAAGTGTGTTTGGTAGTGTAAAAGAATCAGAAGTCAGTCAAATAAAAAAAAAAACCACAGGGCTTCCTGAAATGGAACAACCACAAGAGTATAACTGAAGCCAGAAAATACAGAGTCAGCACTGTAGGAAAAGAAAAACATAAACAACCAACTGGAGAAACATGTCAAGAACGTGCATGATATTAAAGAGGTGAAAAAATTAAAAAGAGGTGATTGATTAGTATAAACAAGGATCACAAACTGAAGGTCAGGCAGGGAAAATAAATGAATTAAATAGGTTGGAAAACCCCCCGAATGGTGGATGGTGGATATAAGCATGGCAAACTACATCGTGAATATCCTTTTTAATGGGGTTGACTAACACTCAGTAGCAGCTCACCTCTGCCACATGAGAGTGAGGACTCATCTTTCCTGATTTTTCAAATGTCTTCAAGAGAAGCTGGAAATGTAGATTGGAAAGCTAGATTTTTGTGTAAATCTGATTTTTTAATGTTTTCTACTATATTAAAATTAGTACATCAAGAGAGCTCATTACGTATAGGCCAAACAAAACACATCATCCAGTGAGTAAGTCCACCACGGGTTTCCAGCTTGTGACTTCTGAGTTAGAGAAAACATGGAACTCAGTTACAGGATAAACAATTTTTATTAAGTTAGTAATCTGCATTATTACTGGTAGTCAAGGAGAAAGGAATTACTACATGCACTTACAAATCCCTATGTCATTACAGCAGTCAAATGCGCCAGTTTGCCAGTCACTAGCCATCGTACCCCCTGCACCATATCTTGGCTGTGAAACAACTGGATTCATTTTTAAGGGTAACTTCAAAAGGGCAATGCCTGTAAAAATAAAACCAAAAAAGCATTAAACACTTAACTGTATTGGTGGGATATAATGTAGATACCAGTTTGAGAAGACATTTCATCACACCTCTTCTTATTAAGGGTGCTCACACTCAACTAACTTAGCATTACCTTTTCAGGCTGTTGTTGAAATCTGGAAATTAAAACCATAAAGCAAAGAGAATGAAAGTTCTTTTCTTAGGCTTTCTGTTTTTTTCCCCTTGTCACTCAACAATATGATATATATTTTTCTATTTTCAAGGCAAGCATTCTAAAAATGTCTATTTTGCATTTGAAGTGTTTCTTTTTGTTTGGTTGGTTTTTTTGTTTGTTTTTACTCTAGAATTAACCACAGGACTTTATTATTTAGGATGTAACAAAAAAAAATCAAGAAATTGTCCTAGTTTTCTTCTAAGGGGCAAGGACGAACTTCCTGTACAGAGCAAGTCAAAATAGCGAGTTGGGGAGCACAGACCATTTCTGATCACAACCTCGAGATCTCTAACTCAACTTGGTGTTTCATGTGTCTGATGCTTCCCTTGAAGGCAGAGGCTGCTCTACTGAACTTCAGTTATTAAAAGTGTTTCTATTTAATATCAATTATAATAAATTTTTACAAAGTTATTCCACAGGCATTCTCTCAGTTGTTTCTTAAGAGAACTCTGAGAAAGAGTTCTTTACTTTTCCATAAAATTGTTGTTAAACAGATGCTTCTAACTAAAGTCAGCATTCATTGTGTAATTGTTAGTGATGTCTTTTTTATATATATATATATATTTTATTTTATTGATTATGCCATTACATTTGTTCTATTTCCCCCCCTCCATTCCCCTCCACCCTGCACACCTCTCCCCCACCATTCCCCTTTTAGTTTATGACCACGTGTCTCAAGTTCTTTAGATTCTATATTTCCCATACTATTCTTGCCCTCCCCTATCTATTTTCTATCTACTGTCTATGCTACTTATTTTCTGTACCTTCTCCCCCTTCTCCTTCTCCCACTCCCCTGTTGCTAACCCTCCATGTGATCTTCATTTCTATGATTCTGCTCCTGATCTAGCTGTCCTCTTAGTTTGCTTTTGTTTTAGGTGTGGTTGTTAATAACTGTGAGTTTGCTGTCCTTTCACTGTTCATTTTTTTTATCTTCTTTTTCTTAGGTAAGTCCCTTTAACATTTCATATAATAAGTGATGATGAACTCCTTGGTGATGATGAACTCCTTGAATTTGATCTTATCTGAGAAGCACTTTATCTGCCTTTCCATTCTAAATGAAAGCTTAAGCTTTGCTGGATAGATCAGTCTTGGTTGTAGGTCTTTGGATTTCATGACTTGGAATACTTCTTTCCAGCCCCTTCTTGCCTGTAAGGTCTCTTCTGAGACATCTGCTGACAGTCTGATGGGAACTCCTTTGTAGGTGACTGTCCCCTTATCTCTTGCTGCTTCTAGGATTCTCTCCTTCATTTTAATCTTGGCTAATGTAATGATGATGTGCCTTGGTGTGTTCCTCCTTGGGTCCAACTTCTTTGGGACTCTCTGAGCTTCCTGGATTTCCTGGAAGTCTATTGCCTTTGCCAGATTGGGGAAGTTCTCTTTTATTATTTGTTCAAATAAGGTTTCCACTCATGGCTGTTCCTCTTCCCCTTCTGGTACCCCTATAATTTGGATGTTGGAATGTTTAAAGATGTCCTGGCTGTTCCTAAGCCTCTCCTCATTTTTTTGAATTCTTGTTTCTTCATATTTTTCTGTTTGGTCATATTTTTCTTCCTTCTGGTCCACTCCCTTGATTTGAGTCCCAGTTTCCTTTCCATCACTATTGGTTTCCTGTGCATTTCCCTTCATTTCAATTAGTTTAGCCTTCATTTGTTCCTTTAATTTGTGACTAAAACCAACCAGTTCTGTGATCATCCTGATCACCAGTGTTTTAAACTGTGCATCTGAAAGTGTGGCTATTTCTTCATTGCTTAGATTTATTGGCTCTGGGGCTCTGAGTTGTTCTTGAGCCATGTTGTGATCTGTTTGTGCCTGTTACATATGAGGAGAGGCGCCTTAGGTGTTCACCAGGGTGGGGCCACCCAGGTTGCTGGGTGGTAATGCTGTACGTGGGGGGAGGGTCATAGAGGGAGAAATGGTGGTCCTCTCCACTCGCCCAGTCTGCCTCACCGCTCGCCCCTGCCTGTTTATCTGAGTGCAAATGTGCCAGCCCGCTGCCCTGCGCCACAGGGGCCTGCACAATCTGTCTCAATGCTCGCCTCTTCAGTGGTTTATCTGTGCGCAAATGCGCCACCGACCACAGACAGCCAGCCGTGCCTCTTCCCTGGGTCCACCTGTAGCTAGCTCGCACCTGGGATCCGCACCCTCAGCTGCCTGTGCACTGCCCAGGTCAGGGGATCTTTTTTGCCCCACCTGCTCCACTGCTAGCTTTGCCTCTCTCACCGGTTTAGCTGAGCAGTTCATTATTTTCGGACTCCGTATTGTTCAATTTTCTGTGAGGTTTGGTTATGTTTATTGTTGATAAAACTTTGTTGTTTTTAGATTTGGCTGTGCGAGGACACAAAGTGTTTTCACCTATGCCTCCATCTTGGCGGAAGTCCCTGTTAGTGAGGTCTTGATAGCTAGAGTTTTACGGAAGATGTAGATTACTTAAAAAATACAACATTCAATTTCCTTTTGTGAAGGTGTCAGGTCAGAATCTGAAAAAAGAGCCTTCAGGTTTCTGCGGAAAAACCCACTGGTTGTGAAACCACCAGGAGATAGTGTCTCTCAAAGTAGCACCTAGACTTTTTATATTTCATCCAGTAATCAGGTGAAGTCTCATGAGCTCCTACTCAGTCAGTACTCTCAAGAGAGAAAATGTGCTTGGTTTCCCAATTGCCAATGTTAAAACTTTCTTCTTTAGTATTTTCAATCTGACTATAATGGCTGTGCTCTGTAGTCTTGGTCCTTGGTCCCTGCTCACTTTCAACACTTCCCTTGACTAGTTCAGATGCAAGTCAATTCCCTCACCCCACATAATCACTGAGCTTTGCTGTCTTCAGTCTTCCTCCACCATCTTGACAGGGATGGCCCCAGTCAGAGGTTCTATCAACACGCTTCTTCCCTATCCTGGCTATGCACTAGGTTCATCTTTAGTGCTTGGTAAAAAATACAGATTCTTGCTTCTGACTGAGTAGCCTGGGGTGGACCCTGGCTGTGTAAAATTTTTAAGAGGCAATTCTGATACAGCCAGCTCTTGTGGCTATGTTTATATGTCATTTCAGTTTCTCAGTTCTTCCTAATTCATCTTTTTTTTTAAAGATTTTATTTATTTATCTTTAGAGGGGAAGGGAAGGAGAGAGGGAGAGAAACATCAATGTATGGTTGCCTTTTGTGCCTCACCTGCTGGGAACTGACCTGCAGGGAACTGGCCTGCAACCCAGGCATATGCCCTGACTGGGAATCGAACTGTGGTTGTCTGGTTCACAGGCCCGTGCTCAATCCACTGAGCTACACCAGCCAGGGCTAATTCATCTTTTAAATTTTTCCTTGTCTTGGTCCTCTTGTGGATTGATGTCTTCTCTGAGATTTGTGGCTGTTATCAATAGATTTCCACCAACAGCTGAGTTAGCACAAAAAGGATTGGAAGTTCCTGAATAATAAGAGCCAAGGCACTTTGAACTGACCTGGAAAGGTGCCTCTGATACTGTTATCAAGAATTTTCGAGACTTCCACCAAAATGGAGGCATAGGTGGAAACACTGTACCTTCTCTCACAACCAAGTTTAAAAACAACAAAGTTTTAGCAACAAAAATGCAGCCAAACCACAGAAAATTGAACTGTACAGAAGTCTGACAACAACGAACACTTCAGCCAAACTGGTAAGAGGGGCAGAGCCAGCAGCAGAGTGGGTTTGGGCAGGAAAGATCCACCAAACCAACCCAGGTGTGCAGGCAGCCATGGGTGAATCCCAGGTGTGGAGTAGCAGCAGGTGGACCCACTGAGGGCTGACCATGGTCACACATTCTCGTGCAGAAAAACCAGTGAGGAGCGAGCAGTGAGATGGACCGCACAGGCCCCAGCAGTGGGAAGTAGCAGAGGGGACCACTATTGTCCCTCTCTGACCCTGCCCCCACATACAGCATCACAAACAGTGACCCTGGGTGGCCCTGGTGAACACCTAAAGCTCCTCTCCTCATATGTAACAGGTGCGAACAGAGCAAAACATTATGGCTCAGGAAGAACTCAAAGCCCCAGAACCAATAACTCTACGTGACCAAAAATAGCCAAACTTTCAGACGCACAATTCAAAACACTGGTGATCAGGATGCTCACAGAACTGGTTGATTTTAGTCACAAATTAGAGGAACATATGGAGGCTAAACTAATTGAAATGAAGGGAAATGTACAGGAAACCAATAGTGATGGAAAGGAAACTGGGACTCAAATCAAGGGAGTGGACCAGAAGGAAGAAAAAAAAATGACCAAACAGAAAAGGATGAAGAAACAAGAATTCAAAAAAAATGAGGAGAGGCTTAGGAACAGCCAGGACATCTTTAAACATTCCAACATCCAAATTATAGGGGTACCAGAAGGGGAAGAGGAACAGCCATGAGTGGAAACCTTATTTGAACAAATAATAAAAGAGAACTTCCCCAATCTGGCAAAGGCAATAGACTTCCAGGAAATCCAGGAAGCTCAGAGAGTCCCAAAGAAGTTGGACCCAAGGAGGAACACACCAAGGCACATCATCATTACATTAGCCAAGATTAAAATGAAGGAGAGAATCCTAGAAGCAGCAAGAGATAAGGGGACAGTTACCTACAAAGGAGTTCCCATCAGACTGTCAGCAGATGTCTCAGAAGAGACCTTACAGGCAAGAAGGGGCTGGAAAGAAGTATTCAAAGTCATGAAAAGCAAGGACCTACAACGAAGATTACTCTATCCCAGAAAGCTTTCATTTAGAATGGAAGGGCAGATAAAGTGTTTCTCAGATAAGGTCAAGTTCAAGGAGTTCATCATCA